AGACCTTCAGGTCATTCCAGCATTCAGCGATCAAAGGAAGCTTGCTTAGCACGATTGTTGTTGTCTTGTCCTTATGCACACAAAGGACAAAACCCATACCCTTATGAAAGTTGGTACGGTACGGAGCCGACTAGTCGACTTTATGGTCCACTAACTTTAGGTAAGGATGTCTTCTCATGAATAGTGATTTTTGTACTATTCACTCTAGCAAAGGACAAGTCTTCCTCTTAAGGCTTGACACGCACTCTAACCCTATCATATTGCATTAAATGAACATTTAATGTACTAGGTATAAATAGAAGTGTTTCTTCTCCATGCAGAGTGCGCGCAACTCCCTCTCTAACCCTAATTCTTACTTCAAGCATTTTCTAGCTTAAGTAAAGGATCTTATTTACAGCAATTTCTTTTCTTGTATTTGCTAAGACTTTGTGTGTAACTAAAGATTGTTTAGATAGGTTTTTACTACCTTATCTTTCCGCAAACAATCTTGTAAAATCTGTATTGATCTTCTCTATCAATATATATTTTAAATTTGAAAATACTGTGTTTATATTCATCCCTCCTTCTACAAATTGTTTCTCTTCTTGTAAACCCTCACGGGACCAACACATGTGTTTTCTCAGCTTCTGTCCAGCAGCTATCACTTGAGTTCAACACAACTTTTGACATGTTAGAAGCTTGATTTTTAGAAACTCAAAACATCAAAGTTGTAGAACTATGTCTAAGCTTTCCATACTATCTAGACTCATCAATTTTGGATTTGTAAGGAGGGAGATAAGATCAAAATGGTACAATTGTGCAAAGTTGACAGCAAAACTCTGGATGCATTAGGTTTAACTCTGGATACACGCAGTTGTAACTCTAAAGACATTGAGCTGTAACTCTGGATGTCGGTGGCTATGAGGTTAGGTTGGCAGGACTTTACATATCCTTTTACACCATTTGAACTTTCGTACATTCGTGTACATCCAAAATGCATTTGTGAACCTTTATTACTAGATCCTTAACTGCTTTAGCACAAAGCAGATAAAGAAATGCACCTCTATTACTTGAAAGTTGGAACTATTGAAGCTAATCTGCATCACATCATCAATCTCATCCCTTATGAGGTGCTCTCACCTTTGTACCTAAATTGATCCAAATTTATGTGGTGTCTCAACTGTTTGAAGGTGAGTAATACTCAAGTATTGCAAGACCAGTTCTTCTTACTTATAGGTGCTCTTGCTTTTCATTATTGTAAAGAACATGCTTTATATTTCATCTAAATGATATTTTAAGGTCAATGAGGCACTAATGTGACGATTGATCTGTTATTTAGTGTAGTTTACATTTTATGAACTTCTATTATCTTATAATTTGTACGGTGTTTTAGGAAGTTGGCTTATTATCTCACCAATAATGTTTTCTTGCAGTTTCACCTTGGTTATTATTGACAAAACCATTATATGACCTTCAACTTTATTTTTCCATTCGATCTTGCTAATACATCATATTAACCTTAAACTTAATATATTAGTTGACTTGCAAAATAACTACACAAACTCATAATTCAAGGCTAAACTAATCTATACTACTTTATAAACCATATTTGAAAAAAGTCTTAAAAACAACTTTGAATGCATAAGTTACTACTTTTTATGCACAAAGTCTTAAAAGTCTTAATTACAACATTAATAGCTAAGTTACAACTCCTTTAATGAATGAAGTCTTTCAATACAACTAACTTTACTGCTATCTTATTTTGAAAAGATTATCTATTATTCAGTTTGATTTGAGATCATTCTAGATCAAAACGAATTGTGTGTCACAAAATAAATGATATTGGTGGGAGAGTTGTTTCAATTTGTTCTTCACTACAAGAAATATAGAAAATCAAAATCTTATAGTCTATCTATGTTGTTTTGAGTATCATCTTGTACTAAGATAAAAATAATGTACATAGAAATGGCATGCGATCGGGAAGCTTCCTTATCATTTTAAATCGACACAAGCAACTTACTATTGGAACATTTCTTGAATGTTGGATCATTGTTACTTGGTTGAGCTCTTACGATTTATTGATGGAATCTCCATGCTCTGGACTAATTTCTACTTATGTATACTAGCTTGATTAAATGTCGTTTTTGTATGTGTTACCCCCTATTGTTTTATTCAATGATGTTTATTTTGGTAAGGGATGGAATAATAGATAACTTTAGTCCAATACTTATACATTGAAGTTTATTAGTCTTAGTTTGTATCTTTCCCTCCAAGTTTAGTGTAAGTCTTGGTAATCTCATAGTTGATTTCCCCAAGCGAAGTGGTGTGAAAGTTAATGCAGTTTAAAGCCCTTATTTCTGCAGGAGAACAATCAGTTCAATCCAATAAGAAGTTTGTTCATTCAATTGCTAAAGGTTTGATTGGGCTTGCCGCCGTTGTTTCTGTGAATGTGGTTCACTAAACTCCTATAGGGACTCGGGTTTTTATCAGGGTAGGATTTGTTTACATGTGTTCCTGCTTTATTTCCATCATACAACAAGTTTGTTAGAACTATAACCTTGGAAAATGATCATAATTGGAAATCTGTTAACCGATTATCATAGTTCTTATTGCGCTATTTTAGGTTTTATGTGAGAAGTTCCTTATGTTCTTGATGGATTACCAGAGTTATATATACAACAGAAGCTTGTTGCACCTTGAGTTTTCTTGTCTCTATGAGTAACATCTTTATATTATGTCGACTGTTTAAAATTTTCCTTTTCGGCAACATCGACTTTTAAAAAACGATAGCAGTTTTTGTTGATTTTTTATATGAAGAAGCTATAAAGATGGATTTTTTTGTTTTATACTCTCTAATGTGTTAACTGCATAAATTCTTTTGCAGGTTGTGGAAGTGTCAACTTCGAAGACTGCAATATGTTAGCAACCTTGGAAAGTATTTATTAATATTTCTTATGCACTCTTTTCTAAAAAATTTGTTTGTAATTATTGTAAGTTATATTGTTCGTAAATTGTGTCTTGTTCTTATTTGCCAATGCCGATAGAAGGCTTTTTCAATAACGCGACTATTAGAACATCACAGATAGTTGCTTTAAAATTTTCATCCCTCTAAACCAGTCTTGATACTAATGGCAATTTTAACAACTTTACGTAAAAAACGCTCATGTGAATATATTGAATCTCATCTCTCATGGATTCCAAATCAGGCGCTGTCAAAGTCCTTATTATCATTGTTGTTTACAATATGATGACTTAATACCATTCATGGATGCCTGAAGGATTAAACCTTGCACAAAGCTGGCTCATATACCAATAGTTACCAAAAAAAGAAGATAAGGGGCTTTTACCAAACGCTTGCCCGGGTAAGCGTTTACCAAATCACATTACCTTACTGGATGATTATAGTAAGGACCAAAAATCTTAGCCGGTAAGAGCAAGACAAGGACCAAGAGTCTTACCCGATAAGTGAGAACAATGACTCTTACCACATTAAGTCCTTACCGGATAAATTGTTGCATATGATGCCGTTTTGGTTAACTAAAATCTTACCCAGTAAGTAAATAATAGTGTTAAATTTTACTGGTAAGCGTTTACCGAGTAAGTGTTTAGTAAACGACTCCTAAGAGTCCTTTCATTTTGATAGCCATTATTCTAATATTTTGGTTTTGAAAGTAGTTTCTTAGCCTGATGGAGTAGATGAAAATAAAAACAATGCTTCTTTTGGAAAATCTGAATTGGAATCTCATTGCTTTTGTTTATAGACATCCATGAAGATTGTGAAGTCCTTAAGAAATAATTGTGTGTCCAAATTGTGAGTTTCTTTAGTTTTTAGCCTTCCAAGTCATTTTTTGAGAGGAGATATTGTTATATATTCGAAAACAATGAAATGTTACATCCCATTGCATTGCACGAGTAAACAATTAGTATTTTAGAATTGTGATTCACCCACGCTCCATCGCACAGGTACACCACTAGTGTGTGTGTGTATATATATATATATATATATATATATATATATTCGTGCAGGTACACCACTAGTGTGTGTGTATATATATATATAGACTTGGGATCATGTGAGACCAAGGGTTTTTCATGAGACCCGTAATATCAATTCTCAACTCTTAGATTAGATCTACAATCTGAACATTCATAATCAYAAAATKGYCACGAGACTTCTCAATAATCACAAAWTTRYCACCGTGCAAYTTTAGACCATTAGATCATTAGCTTATAAAGTTTATCAATGAATATAAATTGGTCTTACTGGTCTCACAAAAAATCTTTAGTCTCACGTGAACCCAACCCTATATATTTAAAAAGAGGCTTAAAAAAATTATATATTCCACCAATGGCCTCGTGGCAATGGGTTTCATCCCGACAGCCATGCGAATAACTCCTACATTTTAATGGCATATTTCAGTTGTCAACAGCCAAAGGATTAAGCATGAGAAAGAAATCGAAGAATTTCTTTAAAATCCTATCGTTTTTCTCGCTACAAAAAATTAACGCATTTGGAATGTATTTGGGTGCTTGGCTTGTGCAAGCATCTGCACCACCTCTCTCATCGTCGGTCTCTCCACGTTGTGCTCTTGCACGCACAACATCGCCACAAAGAACACTTGTTTTGCTTCATCCATCGGAACCTTCTTAAGCCGCTCATCCAAGATCTTCCCCACCCCCTCCTTTGTCCCATTGGTTTGCGTTTTCGACCATCGAACAATATCCAATCCATCTTCCCCAAAATCCCCAACTGGCCTACGCCCCGTGATCAGTTCCAACAATACCACCCCATAACTATACACATCGCTCTTCTCATCAATCTTCAACGTGTACGCATATTCTGTAACCACCAAATCATTAGTTAATCTTTTTAACATGACTTTCAATTTACCCAAATATCACTATGTCCGCAAGTCTCATTTCTCCCGCTTGCGGACCTAGCTAAAAGACCAAAAAATTATTAGACGGCCAGGTCTACAAGTTGATTTTTTTCCTCTTTTAGCTCGGTCCGCAAGTGGTGGACGTGGGACTTGTGGAGGTAGTGATATTTGGTTAGATCAGAAAAAGAAATGACTAGAAGACCAATATATGTCTAAGGAATGGCTATTTTGACCGTCTGGAAGAAACACACAACTGATGATAGAATTAAACATAACAATAAGTACCTGGAGCAATATAGCCATATGAGCCAGCAATAGCAGACATACATTCTGATGTTCCGCCTTCTTGCAAGAACTTTGCGAGACCGAAATCCGCTACGTGTGCCTCGAAATCGGAACTAAGTAAGATGTTGTTCGACTTAACGTCTCGATGAATGATAAGAGGTGAACAATCGTGGTGCAAGTAACAAAGACCTGTTGCAGCTTCGATAGCGATTTTAAGCCTCGTGTCCCATTTAAGTACGCACCCGCCTTTCTTTCCGTGAAGGACTTCACCTAAGCTACCATTGGGCATGTACTCGTAAACCAGCAGGTTGGTCTCCTTGTTCGAACAAAGTGCCTTTAGCCGAACTATATACCGATGTCTGATCCTTCCCAGTGTTTGGATCTCCGCCGATAGACCACTGTCGTGTGAACAACCGTTATTATTGCCTTTGCTTGTTCCTAGCTTCTTGATTGCCACTTGCTCTCCGTTAGGCATCGTTCCACCGTAAACAACACCTCCGCCGCCTTGCCCGATGATGTTATTGTCCTTCAAGCATTCCAAAATGTCGTCGCTACCAAACTCGAGCTTTTGAAATGCTGTGAGCTTCCAGGTTGATTTTGAAGGGGTTCGCATCTTTCGAGTCTTGATAACTGCCAGTACAACGAATGCGAGTGAACAAACTAAAAGTCCCAAAGCGAAAACGAGCTTATATCTTGCGGGAACCTTTGTAGTTCTGTTATCAAGCCGACCGTTGGTTTGTAGAGGCAATTCGGAAGACGAGTTGTTGCAGGGGTGGTTCGAGTAGGGTCGACAGAGGTTCGGGTTGCCTTCGTAGGAGCCGGATTTAAACACGGAATATTGTCCGGTTTCAGGTATCGAACCCGAGAAGTTGTTGTACGAGAAATCTGCAGACGTAAGGCTCTTCATCGAACCGAATTCATCGGGTAGGCTTCGGTTAAGGCGGTTCCATGAGACATTCAAGTAATTCAGTATACGGAGCTGAGAGATTTGAGGAGGCATCGGACCTGTGAGTTGGTTTCTGCTGAGATCCAAGTATGTAAGTGACGAACAATGAGAAATCTCCGGCGGGATTCCACCGGAAAAACTGTTTCTACTCAAATCCAGCTTTAAAACACTCTTCAAACCTCCTATTTCCGGTGGAACTTCACCGGAAAGCTTGTTACCATTCAAAAGAAGAATCTTGAGCCCAGAGAAGTTGCCAATAGAAGTAGGAAGAACACCCGTTAACCGATTGTTTGAAAGATTCAACTGAGCTAATCGGCCATTGATGCCATTTGAGTTCGGTCCTTCTAACAATCCGGCCAAATAGTTATTCTGTAACTCAACCAGCAACAACTCCGGCAAGTATAGAAACCCATTTGGCAGCGATCCACTCAGATAGTTCTGTCCCAATCTAACTCTTCCCAACGACCTGCATTTGCCAAGATCATCTGGTAAACTTCCGAACAGAAAATTGTTGAACAAAATCAAAGTTTCCAACTTCTGACCGAAGCACAGAGACTTTGGGATCATTCCGGTGAGCTTATTAGTGGAAAGATCGAGCTGTTTTAGTTTACCATTCTGTCCCAACATCGGAGGAATGGTTCCGGTGAAGTTATTATCCCAAAGATTAAGAACTTCCAACTTGGGAAGCTCTGCAACGAACATGGAGATGTCTCCATGCAATCTGTTGATGAAAAGGTTCAAGATTTTCAGTTCTTTCAAAGCGGATAACTCCGGTGGAACTTCGCCGACGATCTGATTGTTTGAAAGATCAAGATATTTCAAGTTAACCAAATTGCTGAGTTCAGAAGGAATCAAACCCACCAACCTATTCGTCTGCAAGAAAAGGGTGTCTAAGTTGGTCAAGTTCCCTAATTCAGTTGGAATCTTACCATCTAATCCACAATTCGACAGATCAAGATGAACCAACTTCACCATTTTACCAAACTCAACAGGTATTCCACCATCAAATTGATTGAAATAGCCGAGAAGAAGCTGCGTTAGATTGGTGAGGTTTCCGATCTCGCGGGGTATGAGACCCCGCAAGTCGTTTCCACCAAGATGGAGAAACCTCAGCTGCCATAAACCACCGTAAGCCGCCGGAATTTCACCGGAGAAGTAGTTCCCACCAAGGTTTAAGTGATTCAGACTACTTAACTTAGAGACACCAACAGGAAGCAAACCTGTAAAATTGTTGTTGTAAGCGTCAAGAACTTGAAGTTTCTTTAGCAATGCAAAATCAAGCTCGAGTCCTCCTTCAAACATGTTGTTGGATATGTTAAGGAGCCGAAGCCTTGACAACTCATGAACCCTTGTCGGGAATGCACCGGAGAAGCCATTTCCGGCGAGCAACAAGTTTTCGAGGGATCGAAGTTGAGTTATGGCGGGTGAGAGAGTGCCGGAAAGGTTTAAATTCGATAAATCGAGAGAGATTACGGAGAAGGTGGTGTTATCGCATGTAATTCCACTCCAATTGGAACATAAGGAAGTGTAATACAAGTGATTCCAGCCATCTAAAGAAGGGTGACGAGAGACTCCAAAAGATTGTTTCAAAGAAACAAGAATGGAGGACTGTTTTCTGAGGGAGTAGAAATGGAAGCTGATGGAATGGCAACAAGTGAACAAGACAAAAGTGATGAGAAATGGTAGCTTCATATTTTGGAAGTGATGATGAATGAAATGAAATGAAGGGTTAAGGTTTCAGGAGGTGTATGTGGTTTGGTGATGGAAGAAGCTGGTAACAGCAGTAAATAGCATTTCGTCGGATGCTGTCGAGTGATGATAGCAACATCTGCCTTCTTATATTCGCATGCTTGAATCCTTGATGTTATTTGTCAGAAATGCATGTAAGCAAAGTGAAGATATATGATGGAGCATTTTGGGTATCATTCGGATACAATTATAACATTCTAACAACATTAGGCATGTTTAAAACGGTCTTACTTACCGGGTAAGATTCTTGGTCTTTGTATTCGTTCTTATCGGGTAAGATTATTGATCTTTGCTATATTTATTCCATAAGATAATGTAACTTTGTAAGCGTTTGGTAATTAAATGGCCCCTATTATGTTTAATCGTCGTAATAGAATATATTTTATAGGACCTAAGTTTATATATAGGACCACACAAATGTCCTATCGAAAATTATTACAAATGGTTCATAGGATGTTTTTTTTTTTGTCGTTTTAACAAGTTTAGGAAGGTTCTAAAATAAATTGTCATATTAGTTATTTTATTGACACTATTTGAAAAATGTGTTCTATAAAAGAATGGATTTATTCGACACTTTTCACTATAAAATAATTAATACGACACATTATTTAGAAAACTTCCTAAGAAACTTATGAAAACACCTAAAAGCGCTGTATAGACTTATTGTAAGATTTTTAAATATGATTGTTTATAGTTTGTTCTTATAAACTTTAATCATATCCATTTTAAACACTTATCTACTTATTTTTTAACATCTAATAACGTGGATAACAAGTTCAACATCATGTATATTATAACTTGTTCGTAAACAAATATATATCATGTGACAAAATATTATAAGATCAGTACGTTACTGGTCAAAATAGATATAAAAACTTTAGAACTTTATTATAATGATTGAGAAAATCTTGTTAATTTTAAATAAGAACTAAATCAAAATTATTAATTTCAATATGATCAATTATATTAAAACTCAAAAAACACATACACACATATATTTTATTTAAAATATGCCATATATATATATATATATATATATATATATATATATATAGTCCTAGAGGCCTACCCTTTATATTTAATTTTTATGTGTACTTATTGGATTTTGGATCATCTTTAACTTTATGAGGTAAAGTAAAAGCTATGTTTTTTTGTTAAAGAAGATGCACTTCTCCACTGCAAATATACCCTTATCATTCTTCCTCCCTATCTTCATACTCAATAATTACAAATGTGCCCCCACCCCACAAGGTTTTATTTTAATATATGTGTATCTATAGATCAACTTGTACATACCTCAATTAACATCGTGAAGATTGAAGTTAACAGCCTAAAAACCTTCAATAATCTTGGTCAAAACTTGAACTATAACCAATGTAGATCTGTAATAGTTAAGCTAAACAAGGGAACTTGAAGAAGCATAAATACCATGAACAAAGTCGACAGTTCTAACCCATGTAATATACACTACAACGACATTAAATTTATAGGATGTCTGGAATGTCTAATCGTCCTAATAAAAATGTTTTATAAGACTTATGTTTACATGACCAAACAAACAAACATCATAACTAAAAGATTACAATAGGTTTATAGGACGTTTTTCTAACGCTTTTAAAATTAAGTGTTGTATTAGTTATTTTTATACGACACTATTTAAAAAGTGTCCTATAAAATATTTAATATGACACTTTATTTTTAAAAACATGTAACAAAACTTGTTAAAACGCCAAACAATATCATATGGTAACAATTTTAGAGGAGACGTGTTTTACGATTTGATCCAATAAAGTTAAAGTTTTATAAAATATTGAATTAAGATTATATATATATATATATATATATATATATACTAGAAGCATACTTGCGCAATGCAGCAAGATATATCATGATTTTAATATTTCATTTTATTATTTATTTCAGTCGATGTTACAATATGGCTTTATGTGATTTTGAGAAAACGATGATGTTTTTATTTTTGAATAAAATATATGTTTGAAAATATTATAAAATTTTGACAAAAATATATCGATATTAGTATCAAATTAACTATTTGAAATTAAAATTTTTTTGTGTAATTTTTTAATTTAATTTTTTTTATAATTTAATTT